TTAAGTTGTAAAAGTTCTTTATGTATTCTGGGTACTAAACCCTTATCAGATATATATGGCTTAGAAATATTTTTTCCAGTTCTGTGGGTTGTCTTTTCACTCTGTTGATACTATTCTTAGAAGCACAAAATTTTTCAATTTTTACTGAGTCCATTTTATCTTTTTTCTTTTGTTTGTACTTTTGGTGTCACATTGAAGAAACTATTGCATAATTCAAGGTAATGAACATTTACATCTCTGTTCTAATAACTTTATAGTTTTAGCTGTTGCATGTTGCATGTTAGATGGTTAAATGGTCTTTGGTCCATTTGAGTTAATTTTTACATATGATGTGAGGTAGGGGGTCCCTCTTCATTCTTTTGCATATGGAGGTCCATTTGTCCCAGCACCATCTATTGAAAAAACTGTTCTTTCCCCATCGAATAAATAATCTTGGCACCTGTCAAAAATCAATGGACCGTAAATATATGGGTTCATTTCTGGACTCTCTATTCTGTTCCATTGATCTTTATGCCATTACCACAGTCTTGGTTACTGTAGCTTTGCAGTAAGTTTTCAAATCAGTAACTGTAAATCCTCAAACATTGTTTTTCTTTTTCAAGATTGCTGTGGCTTTTCTGTGTCCCTTGCATTTCCATATGAATTTTAGGATGAACTTGTCAATTTCTGCAAAAAAGCCAGCTGGGATAGATTGTATCTAATATTTAGATCAATTTGGGAAGCATTGCTATCTTAACAATGTTAAGTCATTCAGTCCATAAACATGAGATGTTTTACCATTTATTTGTCTTTAATTTCTTTAAATAATGTTTTGTAGTTTTCAGTGTACAACCCTTGCAGTTCTTTTGTTAAATTTGTTTCTAAGTATTTTGTTTTTGATGTTATTGTAAGTGGAATTGTTTTCTTAATTTCGTTTTTAGATTATTCATCAATGTTGTACAGAAGTATAATTGATTTTTGTATATTGATCTTGTATCCTGACACCTTGTTGAACTTGTTGATTAGTTTTTTTATAGATTCCTTAGGAATCTTAACAATTGTTTTTTTTTTTTTTGTGGATTCCTTTAGATTTTCTGTACACAAGTTGTTGTCATCTGGAAAGAGATAGTTTTATTGTTTCGTTCCCAGTGTGGATTCCTTTTATTTCTTTACTTGCTTAATAGCTCTGGCTAGAACCCCTAGTGCAATGTCAAATAGAAGTTGCCAGAGTGGACATCTTTATCTTGTTCCTGGTCTTAGGGGGAGGTATCTGGTCTTTCACTATTAAGTTTGATGTTTTCTGTGGGTTTTTGTGGATGTCCTTTAGCAGTTGATCTAGGGTTTACAATATAAATCAAAACTTCCTTCTGATTTACATAACTTAATTCAGTGAAATGCAGAATCTTCTGTACAGCTCTGTTCCCTTGCACTCCCTTGTGCTATTGTCATTATGTGAGGTGTCTGTATATGTTACAAACTCAACCGTAAGTTGTAATTAGTCTTTTACAGTTAACTACGTGTTTACTTTTTCCATTCCTCCTTGTTTTATTTTTGTGGATTTGAGTTATTGTCTGGTATTATTTGCTTTCAGCCTAAAAAACTTCCTTAGCATTTCTTTTAAGGCAACAGCAATGGATTCTCTCGGCTTCGGTTTATCTGAGAGTGCCTTCATTTTGCCTTCATTTTTAGAAGATTGTTTTGCTGGATTAAAGATTCTT